CCCCCCCCCTGCCGGAGCCCGCACCAATTCTGGGTCGAATGTCAGTTAAATCTTGTTGCGTGCGCTACTGCTGTGTAACTGTACCGTAGTGCAAGGGTCTACCGCGGTTGGCGTTCAAACTTTCACATTTTTTTTTTTCTCCCATCATTGGACTCTGTCGTCTGCCCCTCTGGCCCCTATCCTCCACTTCTACTAGCTAGATGACCCAACCGGGGTCACATAGGAGGGGGGGGCTGGACCCCTCCTGTGGTTCCTGCCTGAGGTATTTTTATCGCGAGAAGGGTACAGCAATATGATTTTCTAACAACTGTTACGGTTACATGGTTACGGTTGATAGGAGTTGCACCTTTGGGAGAATGCATTGTTCCCAACAGGTACTAGCCTCAAGACAGGGCCCGGCAAACCGGACCTTACTGCTAGTACCTGTTGGGAACAATTGTTGTTATTGTCTTCACATTAAAAACCATCCCGGTCTCTCTATCCAGTACCTCCTTCTGTCTCAATCTCTCCGTACTAATCCAGCACTTGACTCGGTCAATTTCCGTGGTCACAGGCTAACGTACCTAGAAAAGGTATACCAAAATAAAATGGACCCCAAGGGTTAGCAGAGCGATAAAATACAAGAAAACAAAAGAATCAGAAACAAATAAATAAATAAATAGTGGAACGTGCGCACCACCAGCCTGGGGGGTAGCCTTCCGGAAGGACCCCAAGGGTCAGCAGTACGTGCCAGTAAAACAACAAAACAAAATAAAACGAAATAAACCAAAGACAGACGAGGACATAAACAAACTCGCACAGAGACAGGGATATCCGTAGAGACAGTCTGAACGCGACAGCAAACGGGGGAGAGGGCAACAGAAAAACTAGTCGCTGAAATTCAACCGCAACATGTCACGTCACGCGGTCGGTCTCTTCTCGCTTGCTTTCTTCCCGCGCCGTTTCCTCCCGCCCCCCTCCCGCCCCGTTGATTGGTGCCGTATCTAGACTATTTTTGGGCCCGCTGTCTCCTCGTTTGATGGCTCGTTGTCGGCTGGCCTTCTCCTCGCCCTTGTGCCAAGAGGCCATAAACCTGTCAGCTCCCTGTAGCACCCCCGCGTGCCACGGTACCCCCCCCTCCACCTTCGCCGCCTCACTCCAGACTAACTTCGGGACTCCGAAGACGCTCGGCTTGTCGGTCGTGGAGCCGTACCTGGCTTCGAACATCTTCATGTCGTCCTTCAGGCATGTCAGCCAGTTCTGCTCCGGGTTTCCCTGGCCCGGGTCCTCCCCTCCCACCAACTCGCCGAACATCAGCCGTTTCGGAAGCCGCCCGTCCGGCTGTCTTGCCACGGCCCCCGCAAAGAGCAGGCGCCGTTGACGGACAGTGGCCTCCACGCTCTGGCAGCCGACCCTCTTTAGCGCCTGGGCGTATGACAGCTGCCGGTAGGTGCCTCGTTTGCGCCGGTAGCCGATAACTCGCAGGAGTAGCCGGTGGTGTGTCGTCTGCAGCATTCCGTAGTGGTTGCGGCGTGGGGACCATGTCATGCAGCCGTATAGCAGTGCCTCCACTGCCTCCGCCTGGAGCAGGCGGGCTTTGAGGCGAAACGGTGCTCCCGGTCGGTCGAAGAGCTCCGTGGCGTATCGCCTAATGCACGCCCACGCTGCTTTGCTCCTGTGGTTGATCTCTCGGGTAAGGTCGCCCTGCTCGTTGACGAGGCCGCCCAGGTATCGGAACTCGGTCGTCTGTGCGTACCTTTGCCCCGCTGCTTCGATGGTCAGCACCGGCGGTGGCGGCGGCGGCGGTCGCTGTCTCTCCTTCACCCGCATCACCAGGGTCTCCGTCTTCCTCTCCGACACCGTCAGCCCGAACTCCCGGAACACCTCCACGATAATGGTCATCATCCTCGCCAGGCCGTCGGCGGACTTCGACACAACGCCGGCATCGTCGGCATATAGCATCCCCCACACCGCCCTCCGGACTCGGTCCAGCAATCCCTCCCCCCTCCGTTCCTCCTCCTTCAAGTACACTAGGTCCCGCACGATAACCTCATCTTGGCTGAACCGTGTGACAATGATCTCGAGAGGCGCTGCGAAGAAGACGTTGAACAGCAGTGGGGACATTGAGCACCCTTGTCGTAATCCCTGCGTGACCGGGAACCAGTCCGATAGCTCCCCATCGTCCGTGCGGACCCGGGCCCGCATTCCGACGTGGAACTTGCGGATGACGGCGATCATCTCCCCGGGGATCCCGGCCCGGGCCAGCACCTTCCACAGTAGCTCCCGGTCCACCGAGTCATATGCCTTCTGCAGATCGATGAAGCACATATAGAGTGGGATTCTCCTCCTCCGCCCCAGCTCCTGGAGTCGACGCACAACGAACAGCATGCATACCGTGGATCGGCCAGGCCGGAACCCGCACTGTTCCTCCGGGAGGATTTCGTTGGCTTCGCAGAATGCGCTCAGGCGGTTTGTGATGGTCTTGGCGAGTATTTTGCCTACAATGCATTCTCCCAAAGGTGCAACTCCTATCAACCGTAACCATGTAACCGTAACACAACGACCTTTGAAGCGCGTCGCTTTCATCCTAGACCAGGATATATTTGGCGAGAAAAAATTTCACTCCGCCGGGACTCGAACCCATGACCCAGGCCTTAGCAGGCTGCGAGGTTACCCACTAGACCACCGGGGCGACGGGCAAATGTTCAGGGGGCACTGATGCTGAGGTGCAGTGCGAAACGGTACAATGCTGTCCGGCACCTCGCAGTACACAGCACTGTTGTCACTTGTGTATTACAAAAACCGAACGCCGCAGGGGGCGTTACTCCATGGATGTTACCGACATGGGATCTTCTCCCTCGTCCACCGACACAACCACCTCCGTACCCGCTCCCACCGCCACTGCTGCGTAACGGCTGAACCACCCCCTTCGGTTGACCTCGGCCGCTATAGTCGATAGGTTTCGTTACGGCCCGGGAAGACATCTGAGTGAGGACGATCATGCCGCCTCTCCGGGCACGACTGAGGGTCATGTGACACAACAACAATTCGTTTTGAATGCGCGTCTACATGCCTTGTTTGGTGGCAAAGCTGCCTACTAATGTCTGTGTGTGAGGCGCGTGGGAGGTGATCACACTTCGCTCATCAGCCGTGTCAAAATTGGGGCGGGGTTGCATGCCGAGGCGTATATACGCCAGCGCTGGCGAGATTCTTCCACGCTCCAGTAGCTCGGTACAGCGACCTAGGCCTACCCACTGCACAACAACCTAGCTTGGGGTGTTGGGTTTGGGTTAGGATTAGGGTTAGGGTTAGGGTTTAGGGGTGCGTTAGGCCTAGTGAGACCTAGCGCCTTGGTGCTGCCTGAGGGCTGGAAACCCTCTGTGGCTTTGGTTTCATGTCTACCTCCAACCACAACCCAAAAATTGTTGAACTGGCGAGTGCAAGAATCTCGCCAGCTGGCGTATATACGCCTTTTGGGGTTGAATAGTAAGTCTGGCTGTCTGCGCATTGTTTGTCAGCCGTACTCCGCGTACTTATCGGGACTTGTTTGTGTAGTGTATTAACTTCAGACGGTGAGACAACGCCCGTACCCAGGACGCTGTCGTGCTCGGAAAGCAGGAGGAGAAAGAGAGAGTGGCAGCGCGGCTGCTGCACTCAACAAAGGGGGTCCCGGTGCATCATCACCGTACCCCTACCTAAAAGGTTCTACACCATCTGCGTCACACTTGTACGTACGGGTGATGTATCCACCATGTCCGTAGACCCACGAACACCCTCCCTGGTTCATCACGCGAGTGACTAACCATCAGTGGGGCAAAAACACCCCGGATACATCAATAAAAAACCATACGGTGGTGGAGGGGAAACCCGGCCCCCGGGCAAAACCCCTCCAAAGAAAACCCTATCCAACACAAAAACCATTGCTATCACGGCGGATGCACAACGGCCGTACTTATCAGAAAGGGCAAGGCGAAGACAAGATCTCAAGGAACTACGCTCCCCCGGACGATGGTCTCCCAACGCCCCCTACTGCTGCCATGGGTACACAGACCGCGACAGTAATGCGACTTTCCCGCATGGTAAACATGGCCTGCCCCAACCCCGATCCCCGTTTGTAGGTGATCCCGAGGTCCCTCGTCTCTTTGAGGTAGGCGAGCATCTTCACGATCGCCTTCCAGTGCCTCTCGGCAGGGCATGGGCGTGGCGCGCTACCGCACGCACGGCGAACGAGATGTCCGGGCGCGAGAACGTCGACACCCACATCATGCTGCCGATGGCCTCCCTCACCGGCCACTCCCCTCCACTCTCGTCATCCCGCTTCGGTCCTATGTCGGCACCAGAGGAATCAGGGATGGAGGAGGTCGACTGCACATCAAAGCGATTCACGATGCTCTCAATGTACGCGGTTTGGGAGATTCTGAGGGTCCCAGCCTCTGGGTCTCTCTCGACGGCACACCCGTCGAACCACACGCACTCTCCAAGGTCTTTGGTGGGGAATGCCTTGTTGAGGGAAGCAAGCAACTCCTTGCAATCATCATCAGACCCAGCCACCAAAATGTCATCCACATAAATCACGATAATCATCACCACGACATCGTCTTTCATCTTGCGGAAGACGCACGGGTCAGCCTTGCACTGCTCGAACCCGTTTTCTACAAGCTTATCGGCAGCGGGGTACCCCCACTGCCTGCCGCTCTGTTTCAAGCGGTAAATGGCACGCTCAGCCTTCACAACTTTGTGGGATTTTTCTCCGCACCCCGCGGGGAGCCTCAGAAACACATCCTCGTCCAACTTAGCGTGTGTAAACGCCTGCTTGACATCCCAGTGGTTGAGTTTCAGCGATTTCTCGTTGGCTACCGCAAGCATCAGTTTAATGGA